CTTCTAAATACTTTAACAGAGAGGGCAATTAAACAAATCTGCTTTCTTCTTTGCAAGCGGCAATAAAGAGCATACTCAAATTAATACAGTCGTCATTGTGGAAGGGGACATCTGAAAGGATGGCATAAAATAAATTACTCAACATTAATGGCAGCAATTAAAAAGGAGGAGAAAAAGACAGATAGTAAATGCACTATCAGAATCTCAAATCAAATCTGACTGACTATATAAATAACTGACTATAGCATATTTTATTCTGTTTTAGTATGGATGGCTTACAGAAAGAATATTTAACTGCACAACCATTCTGTGGTGATGGAATTATATGCTGAATCTCTCAGTTGTGGGATGTCTCTCACTTCATAGGGACATCGTTTTTATAACTTTGAAGTTCTATAAAATACTGATACTTGGATCAAACTTTATCTTTCTCATCCAAAGCTGTGAATAAGGTTGGACTGAAAGCAATGCTGGGACTTGGTAGATCCTTCAGCCAAATTTATTGTTTGTTGTCTGTTTGCCTTTCTGCTCAGTTTTGGGCACATCTTACATTTGTGTCCCACCTGGAAGAATAGCGTTGGACTGATATTGCAGTCCTACCCAACAATTATGCCATGCTGAAACATGCATTGCTCCCATAACTTTTTTTTGAAATAAAGATGATTTCAGGAAAATGAAATTCTAAATCAAAATAGCATGAAATGTTAAATGTATAGTATGCACAGGGGAAATGCAATGGATTTGCAAGCCAGCATACAGGCTTCAATCCTGCCTGGGATCACTATCTATATCAGGCGTGCACAACATATGGCGCGCCGGCCATATGTGGTCTGCACAAGACCTTGGTGTGGCCTGCCAAGTGCCATTGCCTGTCCATGCCCCTTTCTCTTGCAACAGCTGTCCACCCACTTGCCTCGGCCACCTGCTCACCATCACCCACCTGTCCCTGGGAAAGGAAGGAGTGAGGGAAAAAAATAAAGGGAGAGAAAAAGAAACAAGGGAGGAAAAAGAGAAGGGAGGAGTGAAGGAGGAGAGAAAGAAATAAAGAAAAAGAGAGGGGAGGGAAGAAGGAAGAAAAAGAAGGAAGAAAGGTCTGTAGGAAAAAGAGAGGAAAGGAATTTGTAATGCATGGTGTAGTGGTTTGAACCTCAGATAATGGCTCTGAATGCCCAGGGTTTTGTGTGTGTGTGTATGTCAGAGACTTGAGAAACTGCAAATCACTTCTGGTGTCAGAGAATTGACCATCTGCAAAGTTGTTGCCCAGGGGACACCCAGATGCTTTACCATCCTATGGGAGGCTTCTCTCAGGTCCCTGCATGAGAAGCTGGAGCTGACAGACGGGGCTCACCCCGCTCCCTGGATTTGAACTGCCGACCTTTCGATTAGCAGTCCTGCCAGCACAAGGGTTTAACCCATTGTACCACTGGGAGCTCCTGACCCACTGAGTAAATTTAGACAAGTCACACTCTCTCAACCTCAGAGGTAGACAAAGGCAAATCCCCTTTGAACAAATCTTGGCAAGAAAACTTTGTGACAGAGAGGTGCTAAAACCTGTTTGCGGTCCCAAGAGGCTTAGCCTATATAATTGTGGCCTCTTATTGCTCACAAGTTGTGCAGGCCTGGGTTAGCCTATAGAGTTTCCTGGCACTAAAGAAGGATTATCTTCTGATACCTGACCGTTTCACATTTTCCAAAGTAAATTTTGTCATGCATATGATAAGGAAAAATCACAAGCCGGAGAACATAGTAGGTAAAGGTTTCCTGTGTCATTAAGTCTAGTTGTTTCCTACTCTTGGGATTGGTGCTTATCTCCATTTCTAAGCCAAAGAGCTGGCATTGTCCATAGACACCTCCAAGGCCGTGTGGCTGGCATGACTTAATGGCGCGCCGTTACCTTCCCACATAAGTGGCACCTATTGATCTACACACATTTGCATGTTTTCTAACTGCTAGATTGGCAGAAGCTGGGGCTAACAGTGGGAACTTCCCCTGCTCCCCCTGAGAACATAGTAGGCTTGATGAAAACAAGTGCAATATCTGACAGGACCAAAGTTAATAGTAATAAAAACAAGATTATACAAGTTATCCATGATTAAAAGATAAAGTTCCTCTCCCTGGTTTATATACTACAAACGCAAAGAACCAGAGAATATATCAAACACAGAGTTATTGTATTTTTTTAATTTTCTTCTAAAATGTAGTAAGAGCTCCCCTTACTGGCATATACCCTTTAATAAGACTTTGAGATGAGTATGTGATTGTTTGATTTGAAATAACAAAAGATTTTAAATATATTTAGGAATATGTTATGCAATGGAGATGAAACTTTAAATTCATATTCTTATTTCTCTTATCTATGGGAACAAGATCAAAATGCAAAGAACATATTCTGGGGCAAAATGATAGGAAGAAAGTAACTGGTAATATGAGTTATTGAATGCAAGTGTTGAACTTGGATCTTTGTTCAATGCCAATATCTATCCCCAGATGGTCTTAACTCTTAAGTGTTATTCCCTTTCAATTAAGTTATTGTAATTGAGTTATTATAATTTTGAATGAGAACAACATTGACTGCGACAGGCTGCGCTGATTTTTGGAATTCTATTTGCCTGGTTTAAGTTCTTGAGGCTGTAATACTTAAGTATTACAGTGATGTGTTATGGCAATGGAGGTGGACTAGTTCCAGGCCTGCAACTAACCTAATTATAAAGATAGGTTTGAAAGCTTGAGATAAAATTAAATGCCTGGCTTATAACAAATCCATCATTATTGGGTTGTTGGCTGATGCAATCAGGATGGAAGTAAGCCAAAGAAAACAACCAGATCCAGAGCGACTTATCTAAGATCTTTGCTTTGTTTAGATGACATGATAGGTAGTGTTGAAATCTTTTAGCTAATTGCTAAATAGAGGGTGGACAGCCTTTTGAGCACCAAAGCATCACATTTTCCTTTCAGCAAAGCTGGCCCACCTATAGGCTGCAGCAGCACAATAGATAACTAAAATTCTTACAAATGACAATCTCTCTTCCTTTCTTTAAGCTCCTTAACCAAACAAAATGCCAGTGTAGAACTAATTGTACACAGACATGCTTATAGTAAGAGGATTGAGGTTTTTTTTTTTGGGGGGGGGGGGTTGTATTGTTTTTCAATAAGAATGTGCATAGACTAATTCAAGGTCCTTGGAAGCTGTGCAGCTGAGGACAACATGTTTATATTTATATGGTAACAGCTCATTCTTCTGCCAATTCCCTGATACATCAAGATTTAAGGATACATAAGAGATATACAGATATACGTTAATCCATTGATTGCCAGAAAAAAATTCAACCTTGGAAACCCAGGTAAATATGGACAATCCAGAAAATCAACATCTTCAGACCGCCAGCTATAAGGCCAATAACCTTCAGAACTAAAAAAAAAAAAAAAAAAAAACCAGGAGGAAGAACAAAGCTTCATGTATTATTGCATGAGGCTATTAATACCTTAAAATGATGGGAATTTTAAAAAATATACAATATTATAACTGCATTGCATCATTGTGATCATGCATGCATTAAATTAATGGGAAAATATTTGGCTCAATAGAACCAGGTGAAGGGATGCATATTAACCACTTCAGAGCCATGATTGGAAACTTGTTTAATTCCTTTCTCTACCATTTCTGAGGTCAGAAATTAGTTATACAATTATTTCTTATGATACTGATCCAGACTGTGAAGCAGGAACTGTTTCATAACCCAGTTACAATGTAATTTGCATGCAACATAATTTGAGTTAGAAACTGAGGAATAGATCACAAATAAACAAGGGCCTTTTCTTCCCACATTAGTAGCTGTGCCCTCTTCAAAGAAATCCAGTCAGGCTCCTGCAGATACTGGGTATACAGCTTGGATGAGGTACAACATCATTATTTTATATTTTTTCACTGCATTAGTACCATGTAGTGTAGAAAACCACTGTACTATATAGTGAAAATAAATGAAGACAAGATAATTGTTTGTTTTAATAGTATAAACGATTGCTTATTAGCTCTTTATTTTATGCTTCTAGCCATGTATTCACATGTAATATTTATGTTGATATTATACATTAATTATGTCGCTGGATGATCAAAAATATTAGAAAAAGCTCTTTGTTTAATGATTATGCTACTTATTTGCTATTTATAAATACAGACTGTTCCAAATAATTGTGAACAGAACCCTAGTACAGAATTTAGTGTTAAAGATTAGGAAATGAACATGGCTGCCAAGGGCATAAAGTCCAACTCAAGATGATTCACAAGAATACTTTTTCTAAGGCAGTAATCCTACACATATTGACGAAGGAGAATGCTCAGTGAATTCAAGGATATTTTTCAGAGTAAACACACGTAAGGCTGGGTATAAGCACTTTTATTATTCAATATGAGATTGGTATCAGGCTTTTCAAAACAGCCGTAAATATCAAAAGAAAAGAGCCAAAAAACCCAAGATGTTTCAAAATGATAGCCCAGTTTCAAAGCATTTTTCACAATGGCAAAATGTTACGATTACACAAAACATTAGAAACTGTTTAGTCAGTTATCAAGTTTTCCTCAGAAATGCATAGTGGCCTGTTTCTTCAAACTGTCAAAATTCTTTGGCAATGTTGGCTCAATGACTAAAGCTAGGGGCTGTTTGTGGCCTGGGAGAGGCATCTAGCAGTAATCATTTGAAAGTCTACGAGCCACCCTTTCAAGTGGTAAAGGTTTCATTCAGGGGCAGTTTGTAGTTGCAGAGATACAGCAATTTCAAATTGGCTCCATGTTTTTGAAAAAAAATCCTGCAATTAAAAACAAGCTTCTAGTAATTATAGACAGCTGTGTTACTGTGAGCTTTCTGGGCTGTATGGCCATGTGCCAGAAGTATTCTCTTCTGACATTTCGCCCACATCTATGGCAGGCATTGTTCCTTTCCTTCACTCACTCAATCTTTGGCACACAAGAGAGGTTAATAAGATGAAAGAAATTATCCTCAAAATAACATGTAATGACAGTCACTTTATTTTCACCAGAACTGCAAATACTTCTCACATTGAGGGGAAAAAAACCCTAAGCACATAATCTAAATAAATAACAGCACATTTATGAGAGGGACCACGTCTATCCACTCTGACCCAAATCAGTCACCAGGAAAATCTATACAGAGAATTTCAATTCCACATGATAGGTACAGTGTGGAAGAGACAATACTTAACCCACTGTCTATTTCTGTGTAATGGGAAAAGAGTTCTGGTCCATTAATTCTCCCACTTTCTCCTGCAGGCAGTTAATCATCTCAGCTAACACAAAAACATGCGTTTCATCCAAGTCTTGTATGATGAACTTCTTCCCTAGGGCATTTGACTCATCCAAGTACAGCAGGAACTGTTTCATAGCTGGGTCACTGTGAAGATACAAATACATATATTATCTTACCACATGACATGTAAGTGAAGTAAGCTTAGCACAACTAAACCCTTAGCACAACTAAACTTCTGTGCACTCAGAATGAATTATTATTCAATAGTAGTTTGTCACTCCACAATCATGAACTTTAATGCACTCTTTGGAAGAGTGACTAAACAATAATTTATGCAGACAATATAATCTTGTTTTCAATAATGACGTCTTTGAGATTATTGAGAGAATTGTTAAAAACGGTTAAACAATAACTGTTAAGGCAACATAGTAGTTGATAGTTATCCCAAGGATTATGAATGGCTAAGAGCCAAGTTTGAGGAAACTCAAAATATTTTTAAATCAAGGATTATTTTTCTGAAGAAAGAACTTGGCACTATCACTATAAAAATACTTCCAGTATTATAATAAAATCCTTATGAAAGGTTTTTTTAATCAAATATATTAATCCACTTCTTGTAGGCATTCTACATGTCTGAAATATGACTGATTACAAATATGTTGCTGCTTACCATTCTATAAGTATTCCTTTCAAAACATTCACCATCTTCCCAAAGGTTTCTGGTTCCTAAAGAAACAAGTAGTAAAATATTCAGTGAGGTATTAAAAAACCCTACACATTGGTAAATTGAACAAATTCCTGTTAGAACAGTTCATTTAAATCCTATATATGTTAAGAATTGAATTTATTTTGAACAGCTCTTACAGCCAGGGAGTTCTTCCTCATGGCAAGGATTCAGGTGAAATCTCCTTTCCTGTAATTGGAACCCACTGCTCTGAGTCCTTGGGCAAGGGAAGGAACCTCAAGGTAACTACTCCCTTGAAAGGTGTATCTGTTTCCCTCGTTTGTGAGAATTGATGTTTTTTATGTGAATGCTACGCTCTGTTCAACTGTAGTGGATACTTAAGGCACACTGCACAGTAACATCCCCAAGGCCCACCATCCTGTGACATCAAATGGGGCTGTCCTTATAACTCCCATGGTTTGGGTCTAAAATCTGGGAGCGTGTTCTCAGGAGTACAGCCTGCAGAATAGTTCATCAAGGATACACACTGATTAGAAAGTCTCTACAGAACTGAAGCATTGCATGCAACGAGAGTTATTTTTTGTTTGTTTGTTTGAATGGAGATGGGTGAAATCTATCAATGCTACCAAAACCCCTTTTTCTGGATTTGCTGAAGCCAAATGAAAGGCAATCCCTCATCGGCGAGAAACCGCAAACTGCAACGTAAGTTGAGAATCCCTTAACCAAAATCCTTCGGACCAGAAATGTTTTGGATTTCAGTTGTGTCTCCCCTCCAGATTTTGAAATACCTATATCTGCATATACGTACATAATGAGATATCTTGGAAATCTAATCACAAAATTAATGTTCTGTATACACATCATATGAAGGTAATTTTACAGGCTATATTAATAACATTGAACTTGAACTATAAGACTGCAAAGGCTTTTAAAAGTTTTTAAGATCATCGGGGCTGCTGTGATTTTATATGTATATATTAAGTTGTATTGCAATGCTGTTGTGAGCCACTTTGAGTCACTGTATGGAGAGAAAAAGCATGATATAGACATAATAATAATAATAATAATAATAATAATAATAATACATCACACAGTCCTAAATGCTTGGGAAGTGTTTGACTTGTGATTTTGTGATATGAAATCCAGCATATTTATTTATTTACCACACTTTTATCCTGCCCTTTTCAGCCCGAAGGCGACTGGCAACAATTAGATGCTGAACCCACATAAATACATCGTTTAAAACAGGTTAAATCACATAATAAAATTCATATAAAAACAATTTAAAACTATAAAAGTAAATGACGTCTAGGTTTAAATCCATGTCAATTTGCATCGTTAAGCCATTCCATATTTGTTCACAATACTAAGTTTATCTGGTTACAATGAGGTTCCAAAAGCTTGCTCGATGAGCCAGGTTTTTACTCTTTACCTAAAGGTCAGGAGGGAGGGGGCCGATCTAATATCCCCAGGAAGGGAGTTCAACAGCTGAGGGGCCACCACTGAGAAGGCCCTGTCCCTTGTCCCCACCAAGCATTTCTGTGAGGCAGGCAGGATCAAGAGCAGGGCCTCCCCAGATGATCTTAAATTCCTGGGAAGTTCATAAGGGGAGACACGTTCGGATAGGTAAGTTGTTTATATCTTGTTTGCTGTGTCATACTATGTTTTTGTGTCAGTAAAATAGTAATACCACTATTTCTACAACCCATGTGGGCGATTTTGGATAATTCTGGATTTCCAAACAAGGGATGCTTAACCTGTATATGCACAAACAGTTGAAGAAAGGTCTCCTTGTACATTAGAGCATTAATGCAGCAAGACACCACTTTAACTGCCAGGGCTCAATGCCATGAAATCATGAGAGTTGCAATTTTATTATGTCTTTAGCCTTCTTTGCCAAAGAGAGTGGCTGCCTCTCCCACAATGCAACTCCCATGATCCCACAGTATTGAGCCATAGTAATTAAAGTGGAGCCAAACCGCATTAATTCTGCAGTGTAGATGCGTCCATGTACGTAGGCGGGGAACAATCAAGCTGGGGGACAAAACTGAAACCGAACCACAGGGCCGACAGCCCACCAAGGCGAGGAGATACGAAGCACTGCCAACCTGCTCCTGTTCACTCCCTTCGACGAGCGACGTCGCCTTGACGACGCAAAAGCTCTAGCTCGCTTGCTGTCCACCAACCGGAAGCGGCCGGAACGGATGTCCCTCGCTGCGCTAGAACAGTCGACACTACGCATGCGCCCAGTCGACTCGCCACCGGATTGGATGGGATCTGATTGGCTGCGCGTGCGTGTCTGACTTTCCTGTGGGCGTGGCTTCTGCCTGGATTTACGCCTGAGTAGCTTGTTAGCCGGAGGCTGGCGGCGAGGCGGCTGAGATGGACAGGTAAGGGAGGGGGGACTCGCCTGGGCTTCCTGGCTCACTAGCACAGCCCAAAGGGGACCAAGGCACCCGGGAGTACTGCAATCTCTATACAACAGTTAAAGACCGGCCTCCCTTTATTGACTGTTTCGTTAGACTCTTACTTTTCTGTCCTTTGAGAAGCAAGCTAGTCCTCCAAGTGTTTTGGACTTCAACTCCCAGAAGCCTCAGCTGCCTCGGCCAATGGTCAGGGATTCTGGGAAGTGAAGTCCAGAATTCCTGGAAGGCCAGAGTTTCAGGTTGGGACCAATAATCCCCCCCTATACATATATTATTGTCTATCATATAATGTATTAATGATATATGTATGTGTATGTACATATATATATATATAATACATTATATATTATATTCTATATATACACAAACATACACACACATAGAGAGATAGATTGCAAAGAGATAGATAGATACGTAGATAGATAGCCATCACTCTTTAACACCAGATAGAGCAGACATGGTCAAACTTGGGCCCTCCAGGTGTTTTGGACTTCAACTCCCACAATTCTCAGCAACCTCGGGCCCCTTCTTTTTCCCCCTTAGCCGCTTAAACGCCTGAAGTGGAAAAGGAAAGGGCCTGAGACTATTAGGAATTATAGGAGTTGAAGTCCAAAACACCTGGAAGGCCTAAGTTTGACTATGCCTGTGATAGAGTGATTATTTGAGGGTTAGGTAAAAATATTTATATTAAAAAATAATTGTTATCCATGATTCAATCATAACTATTTATCTATTATTATTATTTAAAACACAACAAGATGAGTCCACAGCAGATACTCTGATCGCTGTTGAATTGGATCACACGTCGGACACTTCCCAAGTGTCTAGGACTGTGTGATGTATTGGCGAATAATGCATGCAAATCCCAGTAAGGTGGCCTTCTGCAGCTGGCAGATTGTAATTTTGTCAGCGCCAATTGTGTTTAAGTGCAAGTCTTTAGGCACTGCACCCAGTGTGCCGATCACCACTGGGACCACCTTTACTGGTTTGTGCCAGAGTCTTTGCAGTTCGATTTTTAAATCCTCATATTGTACTAGCCTTTCCTGTTGTTTCTCTGCAATCCTGCTGTCACCTGGGATTGCGACATCGACGATCCATATTTTGTTTTTTAATACGATTGTGAGGTCAGGAGTATTATGCTCCAAAACTCTGTCTGTCTGAATCCGGAAGTCCCAGAGGAGTTTGGCGTGTTCATTCTCTGTAACTTTTTCTGGCTTGTGATCCCACCAGTTCTTTATCGCAGGCAGATGGTATTTGTGGCACAAGTTCCAATGAATCATCTGAGCAACGGTGCCTCTGGTTGTAGTCTGTCTGCGATCTTCTTGCAGCAGCTCAGGATGTGATCTATTGTTTCATCTGCTTCCTTGCAGAATCTACATTTGGGATGTTGTATTATTATTATTATTATTATTATTATTATTATTATTATTATGTATATTCCACTTTTTCTCTCTTAGAAGAGACCTAAAGCAGCTAACAGTGTTAAAAATAAAAAAAATGTACAATTTAATAACAAAAACATAAACACTTAAATGGAATCAAAAAACAGTAAACGTTAAATTAATTAAAAGTTTATCCTAAAAACATAAAACACCAATCGGTTCCACATTCCATTTTAAGTTACCATTTCATGTCAGGTTCATATTGTCCCTGCATTGTTGCTTGCCTTGTAAAAGCACAAAGCTTAGAAACTTCATTTAATATCATTCTCGTAATTCTTTCACACTGCTATTGGAGTATTTGATCCATTTAAAGGTGTGTACCTTTGTAAGGGGTAATTGCGAGATAAAAGTCTATAGTGGGGAACTGGCAAAAATAAATATTACAGACTTGTCCGCTGTTAAGGGTGTATACATTTCTGGGATAATTATATAGTGAAGATGGATGAATCCACCTTCTCTCTCTCTCTCTCTCTGTGTGTGTGTGTGTGTGTGTGTAGGATGAAAACTTGTTGAACCCAAAGGTAGGGTGGGGAGCATTCAATAGAAATCTTTCTCATTTCACCTGGATGAAATCTTCAGTCTGTCCAATGCAAGATTTTGAAATTTACTACCACATTGCAGTGTGTGGGATGTGTGTCCTTGGGAGTGTTTTCTACAGAGCAGTTAATCTGGTTTATGTGCTGATACGTGAAGGTTTACAAAACTGAAATTTTGCATTCAAAGAGATGTGTTTTTTGTATTAATCACTTGCAGTATGAAAAGAAAAAAGGGAGAAGGAAAACATTGTAACATCGCCTTTAAATCTAACTTTTTGTAAAATAATTTTCATGGGTTTTCATGAATATAAATTCACTTCTTTGTACTGCATTCAAAAAATGGGGTTTTATATCCATGAAAGCTCATGCAAAAATAGGAACTAGTTAGTCTTAAAAGGGATGCTACATTTTTCCTTCCCCTCTGCTTCCTCTCTTTTATGCTCCTTATATCACATAGACATTTCCAGTCAAGATACATGGAAAAATATGTTTAAAGTTCCTTAAGAGATTTTCTGTACACGTTTCACAGTCTTAGGAATATTTATTGTTATAAACAAAGATTTCATGTGTGAAATGTATTTCATACATTTCATTTAAACATTTCTAAAACGTGATACTCGCTGTTCTTTAGGACACACTAGGGCAAGCGCAGGTGACAAATGGGACTAGGGTGTAGGAGAAAGACATTTGAATGAGGACCTACCTGTTAAATTACCATTTCAAACTTTTGCAGAATGTCACTGGCTGCTTATTGTGGGAATTGCTGTAGAAAGATAGGAACTCTGGGTTCAGCCTGGAAACCCGACCAATCATGGAAAAATATCAGTAAGTGCAAATCTATTATTATTATTATTATTATTATTATTATTATTATTATTATTACCCTAAGGCAGGGGCCAGGAAATGCATGAGGGTAGGGGTCAATTTCCCCCTCTCCCCACATAAACCAAGCCCATTTGCTGGTTTTGTTCTATAGCCACTTTCAAAAATGGTGACAGGAAGAAAGTGGACATTGGCAAAAGAAGTAAAGGTATTTTTTTTCCTTTCAACATTTTGAGAGTTAGTGCTAAAGAAAACAGAGGTATTTTGGATACTTGTGGGCAATAATTTTGCATATTTTCTAGTGTTGGGGAGGTTTCTACATGATTATAGGAGGCTTTTGAAGACTAGTGAGAAGCTTCAGCATCCAGAAAAGCAGTATTTTTTTAAAAAGTAGCCATGGTTGTTCTGTAGTTCTGAAAACTTATGCGAGAAATGAGCAAACTTCCCTTTTTGTCACATGCTATGGAACTGTAGCAGCCTGAGGAAAAATTGAATAATGCTAACATTGCTTAATATAAAGCTTCATTCAAAATAATCTGAAAGTGGGAAAGCCCTTTCCAAATCAGAATAAATTGTTAATAGTTACTATTAATTTGAAACTTCTCAAAATGAAGGTGGAAGGAACATACATGTGAAAAAATAACAAAATAAATTATTCTAATTGAAATAAATAGCAAATTCTTTGAACATTTGCTCAAACATTTACTCACATTTTAGATTGCTTAATGTGGTCTGTTTTGTTGTAATTTATTTGTATGTTTTTCCTTTTTTGGCATTGAATGTTTGCCATGTTTACGTTGGAAACAGCCCTGAGTCCTTTCGGGGAGACAGGATGGTCTACAAAGAATGTTTATGTTTATTATTATTATTATTAAATTAAGTCCCTTGCATTTGGTGAACTTCATTGTTGAGCTCTATTATCTTTACAATGGTTTGCAAAAAAAAAAACCAACAACAACAACATTGGATTTAATCCTTATAAAAGTTGCAGTTCTATGCTCACGAATCTTTAATCCTAGGAGTAAACACCATTGAATTTAGGGAGATTTACTTATTGAAAATTAGCTGTTCTTGTGTTACAATCTTCACATATTGATTTTAGTGGGATCTGGGTATAACTAATTAGCCTCTACCACTGCTAATTGTCATTTCTGCTGTCATGGGGAACTCATACTAAAATCTGCCTTTTTTGCAAGTATATACTAATGCTGAACATTTTATTTTTAAGGGAAAATTGTGAAGTTAACTGGATCACTTATTCTTGGGTAAGTGTTAATTAGAAAGCATCTATTTTCACGCATATAGTTCAAATTGAAGTGTGTTTAATCAACTGGATGTTGTTAATCTCATTAACCTGCATACCTTATACACCTATGGTGCAATAAGGGTCTTTGGACCTTAATAAAATGTTGTTGTTGACGTGATATTATTTTTGTCCCTCTGCTACTGAAATTTAAAATGTTACATATATTCATTTTTCAGCTTTTACTATGAATGCCTGTAGTACACAGTCATAACCAATAATGAAGGCCACTTCCAAAATAAAAGAAAAACAATAATCATTTTACACGTGATCTGCTTGGTCACTTTTCACATTTGTTTAGTCAGATGTTCTTTCAACACGTCTAGATATTGCTTTTTGTTTTCTCCAAAGAAATGTAGTGCTGGGTCTCATATAATCCTCGACTCTACCAAATGTCTCCACTTACCTCTACTTCAGCTTGATTTCTTGAGCCCTAGGGAAGTCCTTGGTTTCTTCAGTTATACAGCCATATCAACACCTTACACGATGTCTCCAGCAGTGTCTAGGAATTAACAATTACCTGCCTATTCTTTATAGAGTTTCCTTCTCTAACCCTGCTCCTCATATAGATACTTTGATCAACACCTCCCTCCCATGCAGAAAGGTGCCTTAGAAAGAGTAACATTTCACAAAAAGAAAAGATGTATTACTTTGATTCTCAGTGTGATTGGAGTGACTCATTGCATCGAACCAAAGAACTTTCAGATGGTAAATTTGTAATCCATTCTTCTTCTGATTTATTGTAGTAGGCTTTCATGATACTTACGTATTTCCACATTTCATCTCAGGTCATTAAGATTTGTAGTATTTTTATGTACAAAATACTCTTTTTTGGTCTCTTGATAGTCTCATGTTTTCAAAAATTATCTGTTAGAACTGGGAATTTGAAAATCTTCCCATATTTGGACAATTGCTGCTAATGACATAATCTAAGCAAAGTTTACATGGGATTTAGAAAGAACTGTGGCACTTGAAGTCAATCAAAAGAGGTTAGTCAATACATTAAGTAAAACCAAAGATCGCATTCACAGAGGAATTTGCCTGCTGCATTTTTGCATGATTCCATATTTTATCTCTGAGTCCAGATCTAATGGTAATTTCATATCTTAGATTGGATGGGACTCTTAAAATGTAGTTGCCTGGGTCAGTTGCGATGGGAAAACTCTGATTTAAAAACCATTATAGCTTTATTGAAACTGACCATTAAAGATAAGGAGAGCAGTGGAGGACAATAAAGGAGGGTGTGCACATTCACATAATTTGTTCCTGGTTTGATGAATATTGGGCATTACCAAAGAGTTTTGTTACACTGAGATTATTGGAGAAATGTAATATTGGGCAAGGACTGTTATATCCAAAGCAGATTTTTAGATTGAACATTCAAAGGACTACAGCACACAGGGATGAGTTCAGTTTTCACTTAAGAGATCATCTGTTTTAAATATATGCAATATACTTGGTATGATATATTTTGTTCTTTCCACCTGTCTTTTTAAGTGGTTGTATATTTGCTGCATATGAAGTTCTGGCTTTAAAGAAATCACTGTCTTTTGATACTCAAGTTGCACAGCAAGAAAAACTGAAGTCCTACATTTATTTACCATCAGTTTCTTTAGATACTGATGGATATCAAGGTAAGGAACTATTGTCTACTGCTTCAGTCGGAAAGATTTGAGAGAGCAGCTTAAAAAAACAGTGATAAGAGAGGATTGATATTATGGGCATTACCAAAGAGTTTTGTTACAGTGAGATTATTGGAGAAATGTACTATATATACTCATGCATAAGTCTAGAATTTTTAGTCCAACAAACCCGGAATGGATGTATCCATGGGTCAGCGTAACTAATACTTATCAATAAAGGAGCCACATCTTTCTCTTGAGTAGAGTGGTGAAAGACAAGAGTTTAGTACATCTCAGAAGAACTTAAAGCAATGGTTCTCAACCTGTGGGTCCCCAGAGGTTTTGGCCGTCAACTCCCAGAAATCCTAACAGCCGGTAAACTGGCTGGTAGGCCAAAACACCTGGAGACCCACAGGTTGAGAACCACAGACTTAAAAGAAGCACCAACCCCTCTAGTCTTTCTACTGTGGTGTCACTTTTAGCTTTTTCAAATGCCTGGGCAGGAAAACAGGGGCAGAAGTGGTTCTTTGCCACTTTCTCTTAAGTAAATGCAAATAGAACAGAGCAGTTCAGGGCTTCTTTTAGGTTATCCAGGATGATAATGCTGTACCTTGATTTTAAAAAAGGAAACATCTGTTTTCTGATTGGAGTAGTAAAAGGCCTTTTTTGTATGCTTGGGCAGGAAAATGGCAGTAGCCATTGACAGCTGGCCCTCTGAAGCAGCTCTTGATGCTTTCTCCTCCTTGGTATGGAACATACCAAAATCCATAATTTTGGCTCAGAAAGTATCAACTTATCCATGAGGTCAATTTGTAGAGAAGTGTAAGTGATGTTCCATTAGAATAGTAATACTCAACATTTGGTCTTCCGCCACTGTGTTTTTATAATGCTATCTAAGTAATGGGAGGATTAGGGGACAGCGTATAGATCTGGGAATAGAAGGTGAGATTTTATTTATTTATCGTGTCAGAAGTGAATTGAGAATAGTTTTAGTGCATCAAAACACTATAACAAAACTTAAAACTTGGCATTATACTAAATGTCCTTTGACCGGAAGCTGAGATGAGACATTTGTATTATATTTCAAATGTTTAAATAAAATTTATTAAAATTAAAACACACACATATTTGGTCCTCCAGGTGTTTTGGATTTCAGCTCCCAGATGTCCCAGCCAGTGTAGGCCAAGAACTGCTGCATTACGGCCAGGATTATTCCTGTGTCATTTACAGTGTTAACTGGAGAAATCTTTTTGTTCTCTTACTGGGATTCAGAAAAAAGAGTCTAGAGCTGGTATGGGCAAACTTTGGCCCTCCAGGTGTTTTGAACTGTAGGCTGTTAGGAATTGTGGGAGTTGAAGTCCAAAACACATGGAGGGCCAAAGTTTGCACATACCGGCTCTAGAGGCAAAAGCTCTGCTGAGTTCTCCTTTGATATTATATCCTTCTTTCTCTCTATGCCAGTAAACTGAGACAAATAGACAAGTCTTGGCAACTCTTGGGCATAACTGAAGCTGCCAGTGTTTAGCTCATAGAGTTGATACTGGTGCCAATAATACCCTTTTCTTAGTATTAAGTGTTGTCACAGTCATGCCCAGAGACTTTGTAAGGGAGGAAAAAGCTTTAGTATTTTTTTAAAAGGTAAAGCCAATATTCTATTCATAATAAGTATGCTCAATAAGGAAGGACCTTAATGTATTTTGACTCTCCCTATTGTATATTGTTTTTGTAGGTGTTACCTACCAGGTGAGAAAAGAACTTCACAGAGCAGTAAGGAAAATTCTGGAAACAACTGCTAGAATTTTTCGAAGACCATTCGATGGTATGTTTTACATAAACAAGTGAATTTTCAAATCTACAATACACCTAACTACTATTTTTATTTCTATAGTGCCCTGAGTACTTTATAATTAGGATATTGTGAAGACTTAAATCCCTCTTTCTGTGTCTCTTTTGTTTTAAACTAATCTGAGCACACCAAAACCATTCTTTCCTTCCCTGTTCCTTGATCACTGGGCTTCACTTTGTTGCGTCTTGAATTCTTTGTAGATTTTCTGTAGTGCAACAGAAACACCTTGCATAGCACCCTTTCCCCACCTTTCTGTTGATACTTCTATCTAGCTTGAAAGTTGCAGAAGCTTTAGCACCATAATGGAACTAGCTGTCTAAATCTATGCATTTTTGAAGATAGTAAGTTGATTTACTAAAATATGTATCTGGGGGAAAGGTTTCAGGCACCATGTGCTTAGCATCAATTCCTCTGCATCCAAGGAAGTAAAAATGATGCACATTTGATATTAGACATACTGTTAAGATATATTTGAAAAGGACAGGTCAGATTAGATCAGTAGTTCCCAACCTGTGGTCCATGGACCGCAAGTGGTCCGCAAGAACTAAAATATGGTCTGCAGCCTCACCGGTACTACACCATTGCAATGAGAGTGACTGGTCTCACAAAACCCTCTTATAGTGCCGAGGCTTATTAAGTATGGTTTTCTGTGAGAGAGCAGATGGCGACTACTGGATGGCATATGTTCTGTATCAGAAACTAGAGCTGATGTAGTCTATCCAATGCAATTTTCTGAATCAGCACCCCAAATAACCAAACCGAATCTAAAGTTGACCAAAAACTGATTCATAACTCTTTTGGTACTAATGTTGGATAGTGGTTCCTGGTCAAAGTGGTCCCTGGTCAAATGGCCCCTAGTCAGAAAAAAGGTTGGAAACCACTGGATTAGATGCATTGTCTCATATAATCCCCAGAAATTTAGGTCAAAGTGTGACTAGAAGAGCAATAGCTAGCTAGATCAATGTGTGTGTGTGTGTGTGTGTGCGTGTATACATTATGATTTGGAAAACAAGCCACACCCATATAACGTCTGGCCACACTCAGCGAGGAATGTGGCAACCTTAGAAGTTTATGCAATGCTGTCTTCATAGCAGGTCATCTGTAAAGCAGTTGGATGGAGTGAGCTGTTTATTTTTGTGAAGAAGAAACTTAGGATACATAGTTTCTTGCCTTCTTTGGTGACAAGACTACCCATACTGATGAAATCACAGTTTTTCAAAGTGTTATTAAACAAGGAATAATGACATTATAAGTCTGCTGTCTATAGAACACTTTCTTCTGTTCTGTTGCATTTTGTGTGCATGCCTGTGTACTGTTTCTTCCTTAAATAATGCAATTACTTATGTCTTGAAGTGTTCTAGAAGAATGTTATGTTCAATTCTTGTTGGTAATGTAGAGAAAGTGTAATAACTTGAAATTGTTTTTGTTTTTGAAGAACGCTTCAGCACATTTGATGCAGAAGATCATGAGTGTGCCTTGTGGCTGCTTGTGAAAAGAAGTCAGTCAGGAGATAAAAAGGTCCGATTACAAGCCGTACAGGAACTTGCCTCCAATCAGTATTGGCGTGGTAACGTATTTTCTTAAGATAGCGATAATATTTTATCTCACGACTGTTAAATCCTAAACAATGTCATGGAAAGTACTCTCTGAAGAAGACTAAATTGAAGCACTGGAGTAGCATTTACATTTTAATGGGGCATATCCAAGAGAATTTCCAGTGGATTCAAGAGTCATATGGCTTGGAACAAATAGATTTATGAATAGACCATGTATAAATATGTAAAGAGAAGTCATAAGTAAGAGGGAGCAAGCTTGTTTTTTTCTGTCCTGGAGACTAGGACATGAACCAATGGCTTCAAACTACAGGAAATGAGATGCTACCTGAACATTAGGAAGAACTACCTAACTGGGAGAGCTGTTCAGTAGTGGAACTCTCAGCTCTGTAGTATGGGGGAGGCTCCTTATTGGGAGGCTTTTAAACAGAGACTGGATGGCCCACAAGATCTCTTCCAACTCTATGATTCTATGAATACTCATGTTCTATGGAATTATTGTTTGGCTACAACTCAGTAATATCAGATTAAACCATTGTGGATAAGTATGGATAGATTTCTGATACAGTAATTACGTTTAATGGAGCATTTTCTCATATCTGTAATCCCTTTTAACTTTCAACTTCAATAAGGATCCATCCAACTAAGAACTGATGCCACCGCAATGTGAAATTTAGGCACAACTCAATTGTGTGTTACAATTAGAGCTGACCTGAAACTGATATTCTGGATTTTCCCTGAGCTTGAACCTGAATGAAAAGAAAAAGAATAATGTAGGGATTGTTTCAATTTTTGACAAAAAGATTGGTTATTTCTGCATGTAAAATTGTAACACATTTTCAGCTTTATTCTGTTTTTACAAAACTTAAATATAAAAAAACAATTCTTCACCTCAAAGACAATTTCAGTAGTGTTTATAAAAATCAATATTTCTGTACAATAAAAGGCAATATAAAATGTTAAATTCAATGTAATAAAATCAAAATGCATAGAAACTATTTTAACCAGCTCCTGTATCTATATATACATATATATGAGTTTAGATTTAAAGTATCTTGGCAGAGTAAAAGAAATGGCCATCTGTCAGGGGTGATTTTCCTGCTTCTTGTCGGGGGGTTGGACTGGATGGCCCATGAGGTCTCTGGATTGTGCTGGAGAAGAAAATAACTTTAGTGCCATGCATATTTCTGTGCCAGGATATTTCATTTGACTGTGTCATCTCATGAAAGATGCTGTTTCCTTGATAAGTGTACTCCTTCTGGTGTCTCTTATTATCATAACACTGTGGAAAATTGACTTGGATCCCGTCTACATTGTAGTTTAAAATGTCATTATATGGTCAATTAAACTGCATTATTTGAGTCTACATTGACCATATAATGCGGTTTCAGCCTACATTATCTGGCAGTGTAAATGGGGCCTTGGGAGAAGATGTGAACAGGAACCTTTTAAAGAGTAAGAGTGGTTTTGCAATAGAACTAATTACTTAAAGAGTATGTTTCTGTGGACAAATATGAAAAGAAGCCGAATAGTTACCTGCTGAGGGTGCTCCTGCTGGAGTTCCTGCATTGGGCAGAGGGGTGGACTTAATGGACCCCTTCCAATTCTATATGATTCTATTATTTACCTTTAAATATATGTCTTTCAAGCTCTGTAAGGCTTTAAAAGTAAATACCAACATCTTGAATTGTGTTTGGTAGTAAACAGGTTACTAATAGAGCTCCCCCAGAACTGATGCAAATCAATGATAGTTCTAGTAGTTAGATTTTATGCTGGTTGGAATTTCTGGACAAATCTTCAGAGTGTTCACACCCACATTCAGTTATGGAGGATTAGATTGCCTTCAGTCTAAGTGCCTGGTTTTTGAGTTTTCAGAAATAATCATTTGCTGTTTCAGTTTAAAAATACTAAAATCAAGTACTATTTAGTGCTCAGTTTATATTGTTTCTGAATTCCATTTCACCCCTACTGTGGTCTGTAAAAACTGTGACATATCTTTGTCTCTTTTCTTATCTCCACTTACAATTCTCCCTAAACCAGTGGTTCTCAATCTTTGGTCCTCCAGTTGTTTTGGACTTCAGCTCTCAGAAATCTCAGCCAACTTATCACCTGTTAGGAATTTCGGAAGTTAAAGTCCAAAGCACCTTGAGGACCAAAGGTTGGGAACCACTGCAATAGAGAAATAGAATGTTTTCCCTTTTCCTCCATCCATTGTGAATTATCTTATGTCCCCCTTGCAGTTACTAATTACAACAATTGTTTGTTGTTGTTTTTTGGCTTTATAACACTTTTTAAACAAGTAAAAATATCTAAAGTTTGCTGTATCTTTGTTTATTTTAATACAGATTATCAATATAGAACAGCTGCCCAAGCCATTGATTATAGAACAGCTGTTGGATTAGCACGAACTAAAGACGTTGACATGCGATTTTTCCTGCCTCCTGTTCTTTTACGAAGACCACAAGGCGTATGTATTGTAGTAACCAAATAGTAAGCAGATAGCCCTTGTTCAGCAGTGTCTTTTTGACTGAAATATTTCAGAACTAATACTAATAATTAGTTAACCAGAGGCTGAATAGACATGTTCATATATGTCAACAATATATTTTTTATATTCAAGGATTTAATTTGACAGAATTGTTGATAGCCTTTCAATAAGAGCTGGTACTGAAGAGCCAGAATGCATCAGATGTTCTTGAAAGTTAGTTTTCTGACCATATATACAAATAAAAAAGTTAGGAGCCTAATCCACTTTAATTGTTTAACCATCCTAATTATACATTTACATTATTTACCAACTATGTCTGCTATGTTATCAAAGATACGTATATTTTTTAAAAATACTAAGTGCAATTATTGTGATTTTTCAGGGCTTTGTTTGAATGTAACTTGAATGTAATAATGTATTGTCTTCTTCTAAACTTTGAATCTTAATTTTATTGATATTTATGTTTCCTTCTAGCCTCTAAGGAAAGCCATTGAATTCAATATATAGGCCAAAACATGTTGGGCTTTCTACAGTATAGAACCACCATTAGCTTTTTATAGTACAAAATATACATCATCAACAAGCATGTGGACACTGTCACTTCCTTGGTTGTCTAGTCTTCATAATTATTGGTGACTAAATGACTAGGAATTGAATCAAAGAGCAAAAACAAGGCCCAGGTTGAAATAGCACAATGAATGTGTACACTGTAGAATTAACTGCAGCTTGACACCCCTTTAATTGCTAGGGCTCAGTGCTAAGAAATTCCAGTATTGGTAGTTTGATGAAGCACCAGCACTTTTTAGCAAAAAATAAATAAATGCTGATGACCTTTTAAAACTAAATGATTCCTTAGCATTGACCTATGACAGTTAAAAGGATGTCAAATTACATTTACTTGATCATGTAAATGCACCCCTGGAAGCAGTTACATCTAATAAGTTGCAACTAATAAGTTGCATTAAATTTAGTGGACAATCAACCTACAATAAAAGCTTCTCCTTCAGATTTCCTGCTCCTGTATTGTTGCATCATAGCCATGCATGTTGGATGCAAAGGAAAACAGATTATGTTGGAGTCTACAAGACTACTGAACAAGGACCTCTCTGGTGTTTTGTTCCTAATAAGGTGGCTACATCAGAAGGTTCTGATGGCAAACATGAGATGTCCCAGGGCTGATATTGTCCTGAGAGTTGTATATAAATACACCCATAGCACATCTGTATTCCTTCTAAATTCCCACTACTCTTGACCAGCCTTAGCCCAATGCCAAGTATTCAGCCTAACCACATGAGCTTTAAAGTGAGACTGTTGAGCAGGAAGCTCTGCAGGGATCTTCTATTCATGTGTGCTCTAAAATGGCGTCATAACCTTGCTAAAGGTTCTCTTTACATCCCAGCAGATACAAGTAGAAACCTCCTTCAGATCTGAGAAGATCAGAATGGGACTTGCCTTTCTTCTCTTTGCCTTTCCCCATTTTTTGACTTCATGGAAACAGGATGAATCCCCCTGTATAAGGGATTTTTCCTTCTTGTACTCAGCAAGACAAGAGAGTGCTTGAGGAAGTTGGTTGTAAGAAATACAAAACCCCTGACATTTACGGCATAGAAAGACCATTTTTGAAGGATAGTTGAACACACCCAAGTCTAATGTTCTGGCTTACTTTCATCAATTAATGTTATATCTCTAGTCCAGGATTATCACATCATTTAATGGCATCTAATATCAAAAGTGATGTTAATAGAAGTGTATTTTGTTTTGTTTTGTGTAATAGGCTTGCTCTTTAGAAGATGAACTTCGTCTACTGCTGGCAGCTTTACCTCAGACAGACCTTGACCAATGTGTACAATATTTTACATCTTTAGCTTTAAGAGAAAGTAGTCAGACAATTGCTGCACAAAAGGTATATCCCTAAATTTGAATGATTTTTACATAATAAATCGATGACTATATATAATAAAAATCTGTATGCTGTATACAATTATTCCTATTTGGTGTGAGCAGCAACTTGTGTAGAGGGACAGCAAACAGCAACTTTGCATGAGATTTCAGGAAGAGGTAAACAAAGAGAACTTGTATCTTTTAGTTAACACTCTCTGTTTTGCAGAGTAGCTGAAGATTACTTTACCAAACGTATAAAACTTAGAGTAATAATAATTTAATCTTTATGTCTGTGTTTACTTGTTGGGAATCTATTCAAAACTTTGGAGACTCCTTTCTTTTTCACTATTCTGTATCGCAGAAATGACAGTTTGTTAGTCAGTTATTTGGTTACCATAATTCCAGATGTTTATATGTCCTGGTAATGGGACTTCCTTGAACATACTTTCTGTGCGATAATGGTTCCTATCACACAAAACAATATTTTTAATGAGATTACCTTTTGTCAAATAGATAGCCAAATTTTCTGTTTTTTAAAAAAAATCAAAAAATCAATAGTAAATGTTTTCATAGATTGCTTAGGAAATACTTTTAATAGCAGAAGAGATCCATTCGGTGTTCTTCTGGCACTTGTGTAGCAGTTAGTGAAAGTTGGAAGTTGTGGCCCAGTTCCCTTTACTTAAAGCAGTTACATAGGCTTTGTTATAAACAATAATGTCCATGAGGATTACTTAACTGTTCTGAAGTGAATTGAAATTAATTTTTAGTTCATTTTTCTTTCAGGGAGGGTTGTGGTGTTTTGGTGGAAATGGGCTTCCTTATTGTGAAAGTCTCAGTACTGTTCCGGCAAAGACAGTGGAACTCTTCTGTTTGCAAGCTTTGGTAGAACATTCCAAGGTAATTCATTTGATAATGCCAGACCTAAACGTCCAGGTTTTTTTTAAAAAAAATGGATGTTACTATTTTGCTTTTTATGACCATGTTCATTCTTGGATGACAGGAGGAACGTCTGCCCCATTCTAATCTGTGGCTTCATCAAAAGTCAAAAGATAGATAGATCGCTAGATCGATCGATCGATAGATAAAGATTAAAACTAAAGGAGAGAGGAAGAGTGCCAATAAGCAGAAAGGGAGTTTAGATAGAGCCCAGTTTCATCCATCCTCATAGTTACTGTTTCTAAACTCAGGCTTAAGAGATGTCAGAGACTTATTTTACATAATGTATTTCTTACTTCAAATTTTGAATGTCACTGAATGTATAATATATTTTCCATCTGTTTCCTGCAAGATTCTTAATGACGAACAAATTGCCCTTTTGTGATCATTTAATGCTGCAGTTTCCATCCTAAATATCTCAGTGTCACCTTAGATCAAACATTAGCATATAGGAAACACTGCTTGAATACCAAGCACAAAGTAGCTGCACGCAATAACATCCTGCGAAAACTTACTGGCAGCACATGGGGTGCAGACCCAAAATTAATAAGAACATCAGCCCTAGCTTTGTCTTACTCAACTACTGTGATTTCTATTTCCTGTGCTGGTCTATGACCGAAATAAATTATTTGATTTGATTTGATTACTCAACTACTGAGTATGCCTGCCCTGTTTGGCATAGGTCTGCCCATACAAAGCAGGTGAACATAGCATTAAATGAAACATGCAGAATAATCACAGGGTGTCTTAGACCTACACCTGTTGATAAACTCTACAAGCTAGCTGGCATTGTGCCCCCACCCCGATGTGCGACGGGAAGTTGCTGCTAAATGTGAGAGAAATAAGGTGTGAAAGCCATCCACTACATGGCTACCAACCTCCTCCCAGTAGACTCAAATCAGGGAAAAGCTTTATGAGAACTACCACTCCTCTTGGCGTCACTCCAGCAACAGCAAGGGTATCCCTCTGGGCAGCTAAATCAGGAAATCCCAACTAGATGGTCCCTCGCGAGGGTCTTCCTCCAGGGTCAAACCAAGAATGGGCAACCTGGAAGTCCCTGAATAGACTCAGAAGTGGAGTGGGCAGATCAAAAGACAACTTGGCAAAATGGCACTACCTAAAAGAATCCCATACCTTGTGTGACTGTGAAACAGAACTGACAACTCTGTATCTGTATGCTTGTCCATTGTGCCCTGCCTCATATATAGAGGAGGAATTGTTGGAGGCTACAGACAATGCCATTGCTGTTGCCTGTTTTTGATCAAAAGATATTTAGCCGCCTGAACACCTTCTATTTTTATCAGTTTATACTAATTTATGCAATGCTTTTGATACGAAATAAATAAATGCCGCAGTATAATTTTATAATTATGGATGTTTATAGATCATTACTGTGTTTCCCATACAATTTCAGGTCCCTAGTCATTGTGATGGAATTGAATCAAATAAAGGGCTTCAGCTTCTGCAGAAACTATACTGTCTTCGTAGAGATTCTCCCAATATTCAGAGAAATATCATTCACATAATTGGAAACATGGCACTAGATGAACGACTTCATTCCTCTATATTTCGTGCAGGTAGTGCCAAAGCTAATTGATCTCATCAGGGGTAGAAATCAGGATAAGATAATGCTCTGTGTGTTTTTCTTTGTCATCGATTGAGGTGCTTTTCATCAGCCTGACAATAATTGAAAATTCAAGTGTACACTTCCCAGGGTACCTTTCCTTAACCTGGGGATGCTATTCCTTCACCTGAACCCATTTGGGGTTGTTTTAATATCATGGTTCTAATAAGGGACTGTCATCTACATTTTCAGGTCTTCAGTAGTTTATGGTTGGGACCCAGAATATTCCCTGATGATAATAGGCTGAGACAATGTTTAAACCCTAAAGAGTAAAAAGTCTCCCTTTAATGATAAGCAATTTGGTTCATTCTGTTACAAATGTATTCTTCTTTACCTTTCCCTACACCTTTTTGTCCTGTTCTGAATCTCAAATACCTCTGTTCGATGCATGAGATATCTGAGATTAAGACTGGAGTTGTTACACAATATAAAGTGAAACATGAAAAGTGGTGATTTGATAACCTCAATAGATCTGACAGATCTGAAATAGATCTCCATATACCATTGATCTATTCAAGCAGGAAAAGTTGGTTTAAACTAATTTGATTAGATAGGAGTAGATCAATGTTTCTCAACCTGTCGGTCCCCAGGTGTTTTGGTTTGCAACTCCCAGAAATCCCAGCTAGTTTACTAGCTGTTAGGATTTCTGGGAGTTGAAGGCCAAAACATCTGGGTCCCACAGGTTAAGAACCACTGGGGTAGTTAATAAAACTTGCAGGCAGGAGAAAGGATCAGGTCCTAATGGTCACAACTGAAAAAATTATGGTATGCATGTGAGATACAGTCCAATTATGGAGGAGTGTGCCTTCTGCCACCTTTTTGTTTTTCACAGTGATTAAAAAAAACAACACAAATGATTCTCTCCTTATTTCCAAAAGAAATACGTTACAAGTAATGTAACTGGTATTTCAAAATTTGAGAAGTTGCCTATTTGAATGCTCCCTTCTTAAAAAAGAAAGGCCAAGTTGCATATTATTTCCATCCATGAAGAACATTGGAATATGCATTGCACATCAATATGCAGAGTTTGAAATATTATGGTCCAGGAAAAAAATGTATCACTGCTTGAAGATTGGCCACCATCAATCTCTGATCTTTTGATGTAAACATTTGCTCATTTTGATTGAACTCTAGGTTGGATTTCCGTACTAGCACGTATGATGAAATCTCCACATGTTATAGAATCCTCTCATGCCGCCAGAGCCCTGGCCAATCTAGATCGGGAAACAGTGCAGGAGAAGTATCCAGATGGAGTCTATCTTTTACACCCACAATATCGAACTAGGTAAGGATGCCCCATAGTCTTTCCCTTTTCTGCTTCATTGGGTACAGTGAGTCCACCTTGTCTAAAGATATTTTGAAATTATGTATTTACTCTTTCAAAGCATATTTCACTCTTCTGTCTAAGTAGTTTGCTGGAATGGCCCACAAGAGACACAAAACATATGCTAGCATACTGGCATGGGATAATGAGTTCCCCAGGCAGCTAAATAGTTTATAGTCTGGTTCTCTGGGGAAGGGAAGATTGTTGGTTTTCCTACTATTGAGACCTCACATAGGGAAGACTGAGGATTCGGAACAGGTCCCAAGGTATAGGGAACTAAGAAAGGAAAATCTAGAGGCAACTGAAAGGATACTGCAGAGCAGACTTGAGGAAAGAAAATGAATAAAAAGGATAGTCAAAAAGGAGACTTAGGGCAGTTCTATACAGACACTATAATACAGTTCCAAACCAGCTTGAGGACGGGGTGTCCACAAAACATACACCCCACCCCCAGTTCATGTTGGAAAAAATAGCACACTAAAAACACATCAGAAAGTCCGCAGCAAGCCAAAGAATCTGTTGTAGCTGATTAGATCATATCCTATGCAGGGCTTGAAACTGGGATACGCTCTACTCACTGCAGTGCAGTGCATCATCACATCTTAGTGGACTTATTAAAATAATCAGTCCCTGCATTTTCCAGGCGCTGTCTAGCTACGAATACATTGGTTCCTGGATCTGGTTCTGATCCGCGATCAATAGATATGGCTATTGTTCCAGCCTGGAACCAGTTCCTGAAGGGATTGTGTTGGTCAGGGGTCCACACACTTTTTAAACAGAGGGCCAGGTCACAGTTCCTGGTGTAGGTTCAATTTAAGGGACTGTTTAGAACCACCCAAGGGAGAAATTTTGCTACCCTAAATGCCATGTGGGGCTGTATCCTACAGAAGAAGATAGGAAAACCTGCCCAAAGGGAGTGATTGAATGCCCTAGAATGTAGCTTCCGCCAGGAGAGTTCAGTCAGTTGTTGTTTCTATACTTACAACATTATGAAGCTCTCGCAATCATAAGGACCCAGTTAAGGCTGGAAAGTGGTAGCAGACAGAACAGAATGTTTATTAAATTGGTTTGATAGAAAGTTTTTAGCTGCAAGTTTCTAGTAATATCTATTCTCAAAACTTCTCTCCATTGTCAGCGACCCCATTAAAGCTGATGTCCTTTTTGTTCATGGCCTTTTGGGAGCAGCCTTTAAAACATGGAGGCAACAGGATGTTGACCAGCTTGCCTCTGAAAAGGAAGTGGATACAGAAGATGATTATAGTGAGTGCTGGCCAAAGGTATGGGGCCTTATCAATGTTTTTTTTTCCCTTATCTTAAAAAAAATAGAGGCGAGAGACTGAAATCAGTTTGACATCCTGTTAGCTACATGTCATTAGTTAAGACAGAAGAAATTAATTTCAACAAACAAAACATTGTTATTCAAATGACACATATCCCTAGAAAATTACTCTCAGCCAATATACGTCCTCATTTTGAAAACTTTTAAAACTATACCGGTATTCTGTTGTCATGGTTCATTGTTTTGATTAACTGTTTTTTCATGATTTGAATGCCTGAACTGCACTTTTCTATCTTGATGTCATGTGTTCTGTGTTTAGACATGGTTAGCATCTGACTGCCCCTCGCTTAGAATTATATCTGTGGAATATGACACCCACCTGAGTGACTGGAAAACAAAATGTCCAGTGGAGAGCTACAGGTAACAAAAGAAGAATTTAGTAATAATTGTATTCAGAATGGCCACTATGTTACAAACATGTATAAGCTTTTGAATTCTTTGAAACTCTTCATCAGCCTAACTGGTATAAAAACCAAGGGATGAAGAAAGAAAGAAAGATGCCTTTATGTCTTCAGCTAGACTTACTCCCAGCTTACTTACTTAGGCGATCCCTCGTTGTCTGAGTATGATGGCCTTCCAAGTGTAGTGCCTTGGAGAGGGATACGTAGGTGACTGTGGAACCCTATTCTTGATCCACATTTTTTTCCACAGTGAGGGCATCCTTCATGTGTTTCTCCCTTTTGCCCTCGATTCGTGCCAGCACACAGATGATAAACAATTTTAAGAGAGATTGAAGAATTTTTATTTTGTAATATGTGACTGAATAGGGTTCCTTTGGCAATAAGAAAGGGGGTAAAGTTTTCTAATAGACTTTTAAAACACTGACTCACTGATATGAAACACAAAATCTGAAACACAAAAATCTGTTCTAGAGCACTGAAAGAAAAGGCACTGAAACATCAGTGCTTGCACTTAATCAATATTGAGTGACAGCTGAATTAATAAAAATTCTGAATTTGTGAAAGAACTGTATGAAGTACATCTTATTATGTTTTTTATATTTAGCACCCAATTATAGATTAAAACGGCTACAGTATTGAAAAAAAGTTTTTTCATTGCTGTTGTGTGCGATCTAATAATGACCCAATTCTTTTTGAGATTGCTGAAACAAAGGAAGGGAAGCATCTCAGTCCTTTTAGAGCGACTGTTGAAGGTAGATGACCCAAAATAGAACCTGAATACTTCATAACAGGATCAGAATAACTAAAAACTCAAAAGAATAGTGAAACAAGTAACTTAGGGCAAACTGTTATGATTTAGTATGTTGACATCTGTGAAATCTTTCATGGTTTTAAGACTAAAGTCTCAAGCACTTCTGGGAAGATTCTAGGACTATTTTCAGCATGCTAGCTTTTAAAGATTGAATTTATAATGACCCATGAGACAATATTTAGAAGCTCTATTGAGTTGTAGAATTTCACATGCACTTTTGCTATGGCTTTTCAGATGGAACAAATCCCCATTGATCTCTGGAAGCTCTGACAACTAAAAAGGGACCTTTGAATGTGGGCCAACTCTGGCTGCTGTCTTGCAAGCACTTACATTGCTTGAATCCCGCTGGGAATAAAATATCTTGACTATAGGCAGAATTGCATCGAAAATCTTTTTTATTTGTAGTGTTTAAATTGAAAGTTAAGCAGTTGCCTACTACGAGCGTATGCAACCTAAGTATAAGATATTGTATTTAATTTTGATTTCTAGAATGCTTCCAACACATTCTGCCTTTCCACATATTATAAAGGTAAAAGTCTCCCCTTGACATTAAGTCTAGTCATGTCCAACTCTGGGGGGTGGTGCTCATCTCCATTTCTAAGCCAAAGAACCAGTGTTGTCCGTAGACACCTCCAAGGTCATGTGGCCGGCATGACTGTATGGAATGCCTTTACCTTCCCACTGGAGTGGTACCTATTGATCAACTCACATTTGCATGTTTTCGAACTGCTAAGTTGGCAGAAGCTGGGGCTAACAATGGGAGCTCACCCCACTCTCTGGATTCGAACTGCCAACCTTTCGGTCAGCAAGTTCAGCAGCTCAGCAGTTTAACCCACTGCACCACTGGACATACATCTCAGATCCTCAGTGTTTTTGAGAGTGTTCTAATTAATGAAATTCATACGTGTTTGAATCTGTGTGTTCCAATTTATGAAGTTCATGTGGAGTATTGCCCCATCCTGTTGTGTTTTAGGGTTGTCCTACTTGAATGAAAAGCTTGATCTAGAATTCATCTGTCACTTCTCCCATGACTCCATGCTGTAAGAGAAGATAGATCAGGCATGGGCAACCTTCAGCCCTCCATGTGTTTTGGACTTCAACTCACACAATTCCTAACAGCCTGGTTCTCAGAAACCCAGAGTTCCCCAGAGCCGACTTGATTTGCTGATTGCCTCTCCCTCTCCCTCTCTCTTTTCTGCAGGGAGTCTCTGGCCTACAGGAGTACTGAACTTCTGAAGAAACTGAGGGCTGCTGGTATTGGAGACAGACCACTCATTTGGCTATCACACAGTATGGGGGGCAAGTAAACAGGATGCTTTCTATTTTATTTATATTTACTCAGGCGTGATATGCCATCAAACGTAATGCATACCTCCATTTTGAAGGTGCACATTACAAAAAAAGGATCTGCTGTTAAATGTAATGTGAGGCGGTGGTGGCTGTGAAAAGACTGATGGGAAGCTGTGTCCCTCTCTCAGGCTTTTCCACCAGCCTTTTCATGGCCACTGCTGCCTCTCCCTCCTCTATCCCCTACCGGGATCTCTTGTCCAACAACACGCATGGGTTCAGCTGCACAATCCTAATGTGCCATTGAATCTGTTAACACATACCTCAATTTTAGCAATGTCATTTAGCCAAAAAAGGTGAGCGGTAGACTGAAGTAAATACGGTACTTCCTTTTTTCTTTTCTTTTTTTAACATTTTCATAAGTATGATTAATATAGCATTTAGGGCCTACATCACAGGAAAAGATTAAGATTTATTTTCCAAGTAAGAGAAGATAGGTATTTTGGGGAAAGGAAGAAGTCAGGAAGACAGAGAAGGAGTGCTGAACTATTATGGGCCCAGTACAGCAAAATATTAACAGTTTAGAATAGTAGCTGGCTCTGAAAAACACCACAAACTCTTGAGTCTATTGACTCTGATTCTGTCAATTGAGACGTGACTAATCTTTCCCCCATATTTCTTTTTCTAATCTTCATCATAGTATTTAACGAACTTCCAGTGAAGTTCATTTAGGAATGCTGAGATGAAAATCACAGGTTGAGAGCCTGGGATTTGATTAAATCTGTTTTACTTATATATTAGAAAAAATGCAGATAAAATCTTTAAAGCTAAAGCCAAACAATGTTTTAGCTTGGCATATAAGGTCTTCCCTTAGCCTTCTTGAGCCATAATAATAATAATAATAATAATAATAATAATAATAATAATAATAATAATATGGCATTGAATTGTGCCAACTTGTACGTTGCCCTGAGTCGTCTTCGGGCTGATATGGACAGGGTAGAAATAGCGTAAATAAATAAATAAATAAATAAATAAATAAATATATTATTATTATTAATAAATGCTATATTTATAGACAGCCCTCTCTCCCCGAAGGGACTCAAGGCCTAACAAACACAAGCAAGGACAAAGAACTGTATTTTCCCGGTTTCCTGATAATACCCATATATCCATTTAGAGTATACAGCTTTTTCTTGGTTGCATAAAGGCCTGGGGCAAAGATGAGCCATATGCAAAACTGAATTCGGTGTAGGAGTGAGGATTGGCCCATGTGCAGCACTATCTTGTCTGCCTAGGACACGTAGAGCTGACCTAACATCATGAATACATTTCTCTTCAGGTCTTCTAGTCAAGAAGATGCTGTTGGATGCTTCCGTGAACCCAGAAATGGACTGCATTATAAACAATACTCGAGGGCTTGTGTTTTATAGTGTTCCTCATCATGGCTCCCGCTTGGCTGAATACTCAGTAAATGTTAGATTTCTCCTCTTTCCTTCTGTGGAGGTTAAAGAACTCAGCAAAGGTATACCTGATTCAGAGTGACTGCACAGTATTTGTGCATGCTTATGTCCACACTTGCCTTTGTGAATTTTCAACTAGCTTTGAAATATATTTAAAACTGGGGTGTTGTAGGTTTTTTCGGGCTATATGGCCTTGTTCTAGAGAAAAAACCTACAACACCCCAGTGATTCTGGCCATGAAAGCCTTCAACAATATATTTAAAACGTTTATGCTTATTTTTTTTCTTAACACAGCAGAAGACAACTAACTGTAGAAAAAAACATGTAAATAATTGCAACATAAGTTGTCTTTTCTGGGTGCTTTTCTGTCAGCCCTTTATACAATACATTACTATAACCTAGATGTGTGTTTAACTAAGGCATATGGCAAACATGTCCACATCTGTAGTGCCGAGTGTGTGTGTGTGTGTATGCCTTCACAATGCTTGTTGACTTATAGCAGCCATATGGATTGAATAGGTTTTTTTGCAAAGGGGATTCTCAGAGGCAAATTTGCCAGTTCATTCCTCTGAAATATAGCATACAGCACCTGGTGTTCATTAGAAGTCGTTGGGCTGCATGGCCATGCTCCAGAAATGTCAGGAGAAAATGCTTCTGGAACATGGCCATACAGTCTGGAAAATTCACAGCAACCCACAATGTAAATGTTGCTTGCAGGTGCCTGACTAGCACTAATTCCCTGAAAGCAGAATTTTACATTGGATTTGTCTTACTGTACTGAAATCAATTTTTCCAGATACATCTCCCATGGGGGAATATTATAAATAGATTTTTCCCCCAGAAATCAATGTAGAAATATGGATTTAACTTACTTTCTTGTTTTTCCAGATTCTCCTGCTCTCAAAGCACTGAATGATGACTTTCTGGTTTTTGCCAAGGAGAAGAACCTTCCTGTATTGAGTTTTGCAGAAACGATGCCAACACGAGTCGGTCGAATGCTGAGTCTGCATGTGGTGCCAGTAGAATCTGCAGGTCTGACATTCCCTGAATAGTTCCTTGAATTGCTCTTTTAAGGGTCCCATCTTCCCTGTGAAGCAGTAATCCCCACTTCATTTTATTTTCTGTTGTTCCGATTCTGTCCAGTTCGTTTATTATTACTGATTGTGGGTTACATCCAGATTCTGTCTGTTATGGACAAAGGGACACTTTCCAGCTGTTATCTGATGCTAACGAAGAATCCAAATGGCATGGAAGAGGCTGTAATCTTGTTGATTAGCCTCCCCCTAAAAATCTCCCCTACCCTGCCAAAGACTTAACAAAGAAGGTGGGCCTCCAGGTGTTTTGGATTTCAGCTCCCAGAATTCCTGATCCTTGAACAGGCTGGCTAGGGTTTCTGGGTGTTGGAGTCAGTATTCTGATATGTAGGAAATAATATGGACTCATCCCATTAGGGAAACAAGGTTCTTTGAAAGGCTAAAACTTTACAACAGACATCTCTCACCCTTAAAACACCAGATACATTACACGTTACACGTTAAATTATGGGATTGTGTTAGGTTTATTCCATAGACCTCTTGTATACAAGTTATGGTTTATTGTTTGTGTGTGTTTAGATTTAGTCTCACGTTTTTGGAGAATCTTTACATTGATTCATGCTTATCCTGATCCAAAGATAATTGTACATAATATCTTGTTGTAATTTACTTAAATAGACTCATAGATGTATTTTATGACATTTCTACCCCACCTTTTTCACCCCAGAGGGGACTCAAGGCATTGCACTGTGTTCATATGGAAAATAGCAATATGTATGTGCTGTTTCTGCCCCCTCCATCATTCAGAAAAAAAAAATCCCAAAAAGAAATCTTGATTTTGCCATATTCAAAGCATGATGCTGTTGTTGCCTTCCCCCATTTTGCAGATCCTCAAGCTCCCTTGGATACTTGTTTGAGCTGTTCACCATTTTATATATGGGACATCATTTCACTACACCCTTGTATATGATGAGATTTGAGCATGCATGGATTATGGCATCTACAGGGAAGTCCTGAAAATTCAAACCCTAGCAGATACTAAGGGCCTGCTTCATCTTCATACAGAAGATTGTTGCTATATGCTGTATGCCTTGCCTTTCATATGGCTTTTCTCTCTCTTTCAGATTTAGGCATAGGAGAACTCATCCCAGTGGAAGTCAGCCACTTGAATATTTGCAAACCAAAAAACAAGGACTCTTTCCTCTACCAACACACTTTAAAATTTATTCAAGAAACTTTAGCACGGGAGCTGGGCAAACAATGAACTGCATACCTTTTGCTTATTTGGATGAGATATTTGATTTAATTTTGAAAAACTCTTGTTTTGATAATGTGGCTGGACTAACAGAGTGTGTATGTTTTTATCATTGTTCAGCTGAATGCTTCAAGAGAATTCCTAATAGCAGGCCTCTGGAGCATGTGTCTAGATGCCGAGTGCCATCCATCTCAGACAATCATTGGCACCTTTCTCAGACAATCCACGGCTTCCCTGTGTACTGTGTATGCTTTCCTGTAATGATACAGCACAAGAAAAGTCTTGTTTGATGCTTCATAAAGAAGTAGTTTCCTTTGATTCTCTCCTAGGAAATGAAAAAAAAAATCCTTCAATTCTCCTCTTTTCTCTTTGGGATCACCCTCATCATTTTGGAAAGCCAGATGTGCAGATCACATACTTTATGTTTGCCCTATTCTGTTTTGCCCTATTTTCGTTTTAGTCAGCTATGTAGAGCCAGCCTTCTACATAGGGGTTAGAGCTCCAGGAATCCTGTGAAATTGGAAAAACAATGGATAAAAAAACAATTCTTTTTTATCTTGTGAGAAGAAGACTTCTCTAGGAATGTCTAGAACAGTGGTTCTCAACCTGTGGGTCCCCACAGGTTGGCCTTCAACTCCCAGAAATCTTAAGAGCTGGTAAACTGGCCAGAAATTCTGGGAGTTGTAGGCCAAAGCACCTGGGAACCCACAGGTTGAAAACCACTGGCCTTGTTCCTCCATTGAGACTGCAGTCCACTTTTGGTATAAGCTGGCCATAGACTTGGTCTGGAGGACCTAGAGATTCTAAGAGAGACCATTTTAATCAGATTTGTGAATAATCTAATCTACAGAGTTATCCCACAAATGTGAAGGGTTGAGTGTATACTGGTCAGGGAGGAAATAGGTGAGTGCAAGCCATTACTTCCTGTGCATTTGTGTTATCGGTAGTAAATACGTTGAAATAGTATATATCTGTTTTACCCCAGAAAGTTGAAATCTTTTTAACCATCAGTGCTTCTGCGCTGAAAATGTTAGACCATTTTGTTATCAGAAATACATCGAAGTACAGTTTCTGCAGCACTAATTCAGTGTGTTATTCCCTTGGCAACTGATTTTACTGCAGTCAACTGAGTTTACTGCAGCTGTGTGAAGGAAAGAAACTTCCAAATTATTTTATCCTTCACAAGAGGCTGCATTAATGTAAGCAGCTTTAGAACTACTCCTTTGATTGATCCACAGTGACATAATTCAGATATTACAACAAACTGTGGGATGTTTCGGATAATCAGGAAACTCATACTAAAGACCACTTCCCTTGTTGTACTCTATTTGCTTAATACTCTCTTCTCGAGCTGCTCTGGTCTCTACATATGAAGCAAAAGTTGCCATAATGATGGTCAACCAATTAGAAATCATTACAAAACCATAACTAGCACTGATTGTTATCGCTGATTTGCCAGTTCCCAATAATAATAATCCATTACAGGAGGCCCTGGTGAAATTTCTCGCCACTGTGACTTATATATTTGTGTTAAGCCGATCTCCATATTAAAAATGTGCCTTTTGTTGTCAGAAGTGGAATGGACTTTGGTAACAACCCACTGCTTCATCTTCTGTAGAAGTCATTCATTTCTAACTGTTGGAGCTGCTGAAAGCATGCATTCCTTCCCTTGTTGATACATAGTAGGCAATTTAATACTATTTGTCGAGTGGCTAACCACCATTATATATATATTTTAAATAAAGCCATAAAAATCTTAATAGTTGAGAAACTGCAAAAGTGAACTCCACATATTAAGGCCTTAAAATAAATGTATTTGAGCTTTAAATTATTGCCACTTGCAGTTTCAACGTTAGGCACCTAAAGGCAGAGCTGAGAAGTGACATGTAATTTGTAACTGTTTCTAATCACAAGCTGGAACAGTGTTGCCTGTAATGGCTAGAGGTAATTGACTACTTTTTGGGGAGAGGAGTTGGAAAATATATTTTTAATTAAAATGTCTTCATGCCTTTTCCTTCTTTCTCTATTTTGCCTAAAAAAGGATGATGTCACTGCTACCAGAGGAGAAAAAAAAATCTGTGAGTGTCTATGGAGAATGAGAGTGTCTGGCCGTCTTGCTCCATACATCAGTACAGGGAATTCACTTAGATTGGTTGTGCTTGTGTGAGTGGTATATTTGGGTTTTAAGGAGGAAAGAAGTGTTTTGTTACATACCTGAGATCTTCTGAAGCATAATATTTAGCTATTTTTGGAAAAAACAGAGATGGGGAAGCAAGAGGGATTAAGTAGATGCTTATGTGCATTGCATGTGATCAGTGCATGGTTTGCTCTGCTGTGACTGCAGGTGCAGAAGGGAAGGCAGAATTAGAGATGGCAGGGTTCAGACAGCATTTTCTTGTATTTTTTAATGGACAATGGTGATTGTAACATTTTTATTATTATTATTATTATTATTATTATTATTATTATTATTATTATTTGATACACAGAAAAATTAGTACACAGCAAACCAGATCACTATGTTGGCTATTGTATTCAATCATGCATCAGTCACTTCCCAAGTGTCTAGGACTGTGTGATGTATCGGTGAATAATGCATGCAAATCTGAGTAGGGTTGCCTTTTGCAGCTGATATATGGTAATTTTTTCAGTGTGAATTGTTTTTAAGTGCAGGCCAAGGTCTTTGGGCACTATACCCAGTGTATCGATCACTGGGACCACCTTTACTGGCTTTTTTGCCGTTCTAGCTTTAAATCCTCATATCGTGTAGTATTATTATTATATTTATTTATAACCCACTTTATCTCCCCAAACGGGGTTCATGTTAGCAACAATGCAGCAACTTTCTCTCAGGATTTTGGTAACAGGTGATAATCACTTTGGTCACCACAGTAATGAGTAATATGACTGGTTTTTAAAAAGTTGTTCAGTATCTCATCTTTAATTGTCTAGATTTAAATGGCATTTTCTGAGTTCTAGATTTTTCAGATTGGAACATGCAGTTCTGATTGCTTCTCAGGAAAACATTTTGAAAGCATACATGCCATTTGGGATATCTAATCTTTTATTGTATGACATATGGGCTAGCTAGATAGTCTTGTTGCTTTTTTGATTTGTTCAGTATGAGTAGTGTGAGCTGCAATTGATTGTACAAAGGATGCTACTGAATGGATATATGTTTTAATGAGGACGCTCTCTAGTTAGCAGTTGTAGGATATAGTGCCGAAGGCTAATTCAAGTGGAGTAATTAAAAAAAATCATTTGCAATGTATCAACCCACTTAAATTGGCTTTACTTGGAATGCTGTTGTTGTCATGCAAATGAGCTGCCACAAAGCTGTTAAATTATCTTCCTTGCAGAGAGTGTTGGCATTTTTTATAGACCAGGCACCTTTTTTTTCTGAATAGGCCTTGAATTTTATGCTGAGATGCAGCCATAAATATCCAGAGATATTTTTAGTTTCTTTCTAGATGAGAGCAATTCTTGTTTTGCAAAATCTCCTTATCCGTGTAAGAGACAATACAGCATTTTGAAAGTTTGCATTTATGAAGTCGAAGGAATGAAAAAAATATGTGAAAAAGTAGAGAGTAAAACTATCTAAATGTAATGGTATTTCTGTACAAACCCTGCTACAGAAATACACCTGTGCAGAGGAGCTGAGAACAGGCAAGTAGTCATGGTTTGCATGTTGAAGTTGGATTTTGAAAGGAAAAAAATCTGAGTGGGGTTCCCAAATATTCCAAGAAAACCCCATGCGGGTATCATTTTGGAAACAGATTAATTAATAATAATAATAATAATAATAAACAACTTTATTTATACCCTGCCACCATCCCCCCGATGGGGACTCGGTGCGGCTTACATGAGGCCAAGCCCTACAACACAATACAATAAAAGAAATCAAAAACACAAACAATAACATAATAAATTACATAAAACATAAAAATACAGCAAACAATATAAAATTAAAATAAAATCATTCATAACACAGTAACAGTGAGCAGACCGCATGTACAGAATAAAATACTAAGGCTAAGAAGATAAAAAGCATGGGGTGAGATAGAGATGGAGCAGATTATTTGTGAGGGAGAAACTCTCCAGAAGTGGAGTCGAGAAAGGTCTTCATACAGGAGAGGAGGAGGTGTGCTCTAAGGACAAACGTTGAAGGGTAGCAGCAATATAAAATTGTATGGTTAATCACCAAAAGCACAACGGAAAAGCCAGGTTTTGAGATTCTTCTTAAAACTTTCTAAAGTGGGAGCAAATAAGAAAACAAAGAGAAAGGCTACCTGTTCATAGAAATCATCTGCCCAATACAGGCAGTCCCCATGAACAAGGTAAGTTCTGTAGGTTTGTTCTTAAGTTGAATTTGTTTGTAAGTCAAAACAGTTGCATTTTTAAGTGTTAACTCCAGCCAAATGTATATATTTGTTAGTTTTGGATAGCAAAGGAAAGGGTGAACATTCCTCTGGTGTTTGTTTTGCTGTCTGTGCCCCTGTTCAGAAGATTTCACCTCACTTTCTGTCCCTGTGAGAATTGGATTTTGAAAAATTAGGCTTGTTGTGGAAACAAAGATTGGTGAGGAAGCCTCGGTGGAGACACCTTTCCCCCATGATAACTCTTCCAGGAGTGAATTTTCCTTCTTAGGGGTAGATTTCTCTCATTTCCTGTTCTTTACTATCAGTCATTTGTAAGTTGGATGTTTGTAACTCGGGGCTGCCTGTACTTGGCTGGTGCGCTTAGCTTTGGCTGTGTTCTTCATAAATAGATAAATAGACAAATGTGCTTTTGGTGTCATCCAGCAATTATTGGTTCTATTCTTTTATCAATTGTAGTCAAGGAAACAGAAATTAAGGGGGGATTTTGTAGGTTTCTATTGCTCTTAATTCTGTGTTGATTCTTGAGAGGCACAGGAGGCAGTAATATGCAACTAAGTAGCCGAGTCTTTCCTCTTCTGTAAGGAACAAACAGAGTCCTGTTTCTTTTTTAAAAAGGAGTTTAATAGTATTTACAGCCTCAATTCAAAACAGATACATAATACAGTCCCAAATACATTATCTGTGTATGTATTATTTAAAACCAATTAAAAGAAATTAATTCTGTATTTCTTTATTAAAATAATGGAGTCCTGCCATTAATAAATTATCAGTCTTCGATTTTATAACTTCACTGTATGATTTCCTTGTAAAGTATTCCAAGTTTCTTTCTTACTTAACTACTGTGCATGCCATTATTTTCACTGCTTATAATGTTCACACTACATTTTCCATTTGTTTCTTCCATAATCCCACTAATTGTGAAAATAGCCAGGTTGTGCTTTTAAATCTTGGACCGAGCGTTTGCTACAGAGGCCACTTTAATATCTCCATGTGACATTTTCTAAGTGTAGTCTCTTCTTCTGTAGCAAAGGGTGGCGTGTAAGCTACATCAGCTCCCAAAGCCATTTTTATGGTCTCCAGGGTGTTATTTTTTTTCACTCTTGAATATCCCCAAATGCACTTTAGAGAGAGTGGAGAACATTCCCCTGCATCTCAAAAACATTTTTTCACACTCTTTCAAAAAAAAAAAAGAAAAGAAAGAAAAAAAGGACTGTGTGTTGCACTCTTAATTCAAAGCTGGGATGGGACTATGCCCACAGGGCTCAATGTTAGGATATTACAGTAACATCTTATAATTAATGTTTTCTGAAATACAGTTTTCTGTTCATTAGGCTACTCAGTCCTTCTACAAGGATAGCCTTCCTCAATCCTATGACTAACCTTGCTATACTTGTAAAGTAGCCAAGGATGACTTGGGGAAAACACTTTTACACCCACCATCTCACGTACTGCTATCTCCAGGCACAATCAGAAAATGTTCTCATTGCAGGAAATGATGTATTGCACAGAGCTTGCTGGACTGAGCCCATTTGTTTAAAACGTCTTCCCACACCACACAGATGCGGACAAGCATAAAAAGGAAAGGGCAGACAGGATCTGGGATATGTAAACTGAATCAAAACATGTTTACCACAATTAAATCTCATTAAGCTGAATGGAGTTCTTTTCCAGAATATGTGCTCAGACAAAAGGGTTGCAGCACACTGTCTTTTCAACAGAATACAGAATTTTCTGCACTTACATTTCCCTGGCAAAGGAGCTGGGACCTCAGACACAGGAAGTGAGCAAAGTGCAAATAAGAAGTAATTGTTGCAGTATCAAGTACTGCCACTGATTTATCACAGGAGTTAAATCAGAATTCACTGAGGGAGGATAGTACCATAACACATTTGTATGCATCCTGGCTCTGAAAGTAAACTAAATTGTTTGAGAAAAAAATCTTGTTACATTATTACTATTGTTGCTGTGTTATGCTGAAAAATCAAGAAAACATGCTCATAATTTTCAAACCGAGTTTGTGTCTACACTTGCATTCTGGGTTTGCTTGATGGGAAGTAGTTCATTTGGTCCTTGGGACCCAGTGTCACTGTTGCCATCTTCCCCAAATGTAACCCAGTGGCTGAAATCTCTTGAACTGGAGAGCTTCAAGTCTTTTGGAACATAGCTGGGGCTGTCCGTCAAAGGCTGACAAACAGCAGAGTCAACTTCTAGGTCTAGCAGATTGGTATTTCTCATAAAACAATCATTGTCTGAAAGCTGCTGCATGTGCGTGGTCGGAGGGACGTGCTGACTGCCAGCTAATCCTGAAGTGTGTGGCTTCAACAGCTTGGAACCATTGTTGACTGGACAAGGTGCGACTGCTGTTGCAGGAACAGGAGAAGCACTGGGAGAGAGTGGGAATGCGTCAAAATCTTGATTGTTACAGTAATACTCTGATGAGCTGTTGTTGTTGGAATTAAACGTCAAACCCTTAAGAAACAGGCTGTCGCTGCTCTGGAGTACCTGCAGATGAAAATCCGGGGGAGCAGATTTCTTTCTTCGTGGTGGAATTGATGGAGTGTCTGTGAAAGTCTGAGAAGGAACTGGAGAACTTTCCTCTAAAAGGCAGAGTGCGGCTGGCTG